ACAACTTTGCTTCATCGGCAATCCCACCACAGAGTGGGATACTGAGAAATGCCTGGCCTATCTGGGAATGCACATTTGCCCTTTCACAGTTCGAGTCCTGCTGGATGAGAATACCTTTTGGGAAGCAAAGCTATGTGAAATTAATTAGAAACGTAAGGCCCACTCATATTATTGCTGGAAAATTGAACTGTTAGTCCCTCTTCACATTAACGAACTAGGGTGTATCTATTGGTTGTGTCTGAGATTGCATTTATTTGGCCAATTCCAACTCGATCTTGCACAAATGCCTGCTCGTGCTGCTCCCCTCGAGCCGAGCTCAGCTTCACTGGGCATGGACAACCGGACGGTCATTATGTGACAAGAGGTGCAATTCAGGTAGTCGAAATAGACCATTTGAGGAGGCATTCATGAATGTTGGATGCACAAGGGTCAGCTGGATCCAGGGGTGCTCTTCCGTGTAAGTCGTCGCTGCTAGTATCGGGCCATGATGGAAAAGATTTAAGAAGAAAAGTTGATTTTATTCACGAGTCTTTTGGCCTATAAGTGTCTGGCTCATTTCCATCTCGAGTGAAATATTCTTATGTCCATCTCACCTGAATTCTTATGCTCATTTGCTGGACGTAAGGATAGACAGGCTGCTGAGCCGCCCATATAGACGAGTGGGAAAAACCAGTTTTGAGCTAATGGTTCTAAGTCCAGTCAAATTTTCTCTACATTCAAATTCAGCCCAAAATAATTATCAATTCAATCAGGCGTATGCTCTGCATTATACCATTAGACTGACGGTTGCAAAAGGTTAATTTAAGGGTCTCTGATAGCCGAAGACAATTTTAATGTCCTGCTTTGATGACCTGAAAATATTGTCGTTAGTCCCATATCGCAACGATCACACCAGCTGGATTACGCATACACACACAAACACACTAGCAGCTAAAAAGAATTAAAGCAATCACTTTATTTCTATTTGAGTAGTTATCAGTACTTCTTGAATAGGGACTTAGTCAGACTAAGTCGCTTAAGATGAGCGACCCAACTATACCATTGCATTTCCCTTAGTCGGGCCTCTTCAAGGCCTATCTCACTCAGATTGGAGTGGTTTCGACCTCGCCCAGGTTTCGCCAGCTCCCAACGGAGGATTCGATACCGTCTAGTTAGTATCGTGGCGACTTCTCCATCCAACTTCCATACATGGTCACGGGCGCCAAGGGTTTCACTAAATCGCAGGGCGGATGCCTCTTTCGAGAGCTAATCACATCGGACTCAAATGATGTCATGTATTGCAACGGTAGACAAGTATTTGCTTAATCGACAATTCTATTGGGAAAATGTGAGTTGGGAGAGGTCTGGTTTGCTTTAAATGACTCATAATCTCATCTGTACCCATCTGATTGTTAGAAAAGTCAACTATCAGTCCGTATATCATCTTAAGCTATCTGGTTTGACTACATTCTTATTCAATTTGCTCGATATTTCACCAAACTGGTATGGTTGTATGAGCTGGTGGGGTATTCCGAACTCGTTAGCTGTACATGGTTGTGGTATCGGTGCACAGCGGTGATATTGTCTGTGATGCGACAGACGACGGCTTAATACCTCTTCACTGGAAGTGAACCGTAACCTGCCGTTCACGAGGAAGCCGAGCTGCAGCAGACCGAAAATAATTTGGCCTCGTGGATGATTCTCTTTATCATACATACACTTTCACTCGAAATGCCAGTCAACTCACATTCAGTACGTAAACTGCCAAACTTGTCTGCTCATTTGGCCTTGTTCTCTCTTGAATTAACTCGTGTTCAGTTTTGCTCTCCTCACAACCAATGCATCAGAGAGCATGTGCGCTTTTCGTCTGCATCAGGTCTCTAAATACGCTTGATTGTTGGTACTTTCCGGTCCACTTGGTTTGGGACATTTGAGAACAAGGCGTTTCCACTTGACCCACTTTAATCGAGTGGCAGACTTTACTTATATTCAGGTTGCCATTTTCCGTTTGTTCTGTTGCATCAATTAGTCTCGAATACCAGAAAATGGAAACTTCTTTATAAGCATATGAATATTAGAGCTTTGATGATGTAGATTTACTTGGCCTGTACTAATTATGTTTCTTGGCCGCATGACTTTTTCCCACATCCTAGCACACCTGCTTTAGCGCCGCAATTGGACCGCCAAAATTAGTGACGACAGTTGGGGCTCTCGTGTCTGGAAGTACGTTTTCGCATGGTCCTATCACCGTAAGTTGTCTGGAAAAAGCGCTGATGCATTTTCTTGGTCTGTAGTAGCTTCGTTGACCAGACCTCGGAAAGGCCACCTATGCCTGCAGTTACAACCAGATTTGCAAGCATCTTGAAGGGGTCTATTCTCCTGAAATGGCTAATTCAACAGACCTTCTACCTGCTCAGCAGGTGGAGTTGAGCAAGACTATGGGGG